GTGGGTGGATGTATGTGCAGGTTGTTGGGTGGGTAGATGAGTGAGCGGGGTTGTTACATGGGCGGGTATGGGGTTTATCTGATGGCCGGACATGGATGGGAATGTTTGGTAAGGGAGAGGTTCTTGGTTCTACTTCAGTCAACAGGCACTACTAAGTTTATACAGCTGTGAATCGAGGGGCGGAGGGGGTGGGGGGGGCATAGTGAGGATAGCTACTGCAGTCTACCGTGTGTGTGTGTGTGTCAGGTGGTAAAGGTGGCGGTAATCGTAGTAACTATACACATGCAACACCCTCGCATTGTACACCCTGTAACAGTGTCAACAATGCCCTCGACAAGCAACGATTACCGAGACATTTCTATACACGCTGGGAAAAAAAACAAGTAAAACAAGGGAAGTAATTAATGAGACAAATAACTGTTACCTGTGTTGTGTATATAGTTAAACTGTTATAGTGTTTTGTTCATCCTGGGAAAAGTATCAAATGGTGGCAGGAAGTATCGAGTAAAATGTATTCTTAAACCTGAAAGCGATACGGTTACCAAATGTGATCGAGAAGTCATTTTTATGGGATAGAATGCCACTTAAACACGATGTAAGTCGACTAAAATGATAGTAATTTCTAAGGATTTTAATACACTTTAGAATGAGATCCAGAACGAGGTATTTGAATCTCTCTTTAAGAATGAAAAAATAGTCTTTAATACCTTTACCGAAATCTTCTGATATGAGAGTAATTTTTTTCAAACATTGACGTCTTATGAAACTGATCCAAGATACACGACCCCTCACACCCTGTCCATTCCCATAAACAAACAGCTGTATAAAACTCAATGATTCTTTTTATTCCCCTATCATAGGAAGAGGGAGACAATATTGCTCTGTCTGTCTGTCTGTGTCTGTCTGTCTGAACGTAAAACCGGTTATAGGTACTTGGCAGATACTAGTGCGTGGGTGAGAGCGCTATACTGTCTAATACGTATAGGGGAATATTGAATCGACTCTCTCTCTCTCTCTCTCTCTCTCTCTCTCTCTCTCTCTCTCTCACACACACACACACTTCTTGTTGTCTTGGCGAAAAAAAGAAAGTTGTTTAGGGAACGAAAACTTTCACACTTCTCTATCTCTCTCTTGTGTCTCGCTGGTTCCAACTTTCTTTTCTCCTTGTCTCTTTTCTCTTTTATCTCTCTTTCGGTGACCTCTTTAACTCCGCTTTCATTCTACCTCCAGACCTCTCTCTCTCTCTCTCTCTCTCTCTCTCTCTCTCTCTCTCTCTCTCTCTCTCTCTCTCTCCCTTTGTTTTCACGACGGAATGAGGACGCGGAAGGAGGGGGAAGGGGGGGACAGGAATAAAGATGGAGGAGGTGAGGAAAAGAAGGTGGGAGGAGGAAAGATGAGAGAGGAAGAGAAGAGAAAGTGCATGGGAACAAAGAGAAGAAAGTAGGATGAGAGAAGGAGGTAGAGAAGAGGAATTGGAGGGATGTGAAAGAGGAAGGGGAGGGATGGACAAGAGGAAGGGAAGAAATGGGGAAGAAGAAGGAGAGAAAAGGGTAAAAGGAGGGGGAATATGGTAGAACGGGAGAAAATGGGGAAGAAAGGGAGGGCAAATAGGGACGAGGAAGAAGAAGACGGGGTAGGAATGGCAGGTCCAACTCGTAGATAGTGAACCGTGTTAGGTACAATGATTATAGAGTAAGAAACTTTTCCAATTTCCCCTAAACAGCTTCAAGATGGCCAACAACCTCTCCACAGATGGCCGACTCCTCCCCTAAGCCACTTCCCTCACCATTTCACCACCACCTACTTCAGTTCTATCGATATCCACCGGTTAGGGAATTTTATTATTTGGCCGGATACCGAATTTGGCGGATAGTTTAACAAAAATCCGGCGCTGACACGATCATTCACCTCTCAGTTCAGATTCTTAAGGTTAAGTTCTGCAGCAGCCATCTGTGTTACCTGTGTGGCTTAGCATTCTCTCTCCCCCTCCATAAATTACCCTAACACTAAATAAATTATCTTAGACTAATTACAATTTATATATACTTTAATCTTTATATAAATCCTAGGTATTTTTCAAGTTTATATAGAGTTAATTATCTGCCAAAGACAAATTTTTGGCATCAAGTCACTAAAATTGTTTTGTTTGGGTCAGGTCGTTGGCTCATGAAGACGGCTGGTGTGTCACGGTGGTGTTCGCTTCAACAATGGTGTCTTCATGGACATTTATTTTTCAGTTAAACGCCACAAAAAGCTCTTAAACAATAACCACTATAACCAAACCTAACCTAACCAACCTAACCTATAGAGATAACATTTAAACAGACATTATCCTGAGAGCGGTAGCGTCCAACAACTCAGCAATACCGAGAACTATTGAGACGTAGTTATTTATAAGCCGCCAGAAGGTTCCTGAGCAGTAGGCTGAAGATAAACATAGAACAGCAGTGGGAGAGGTTGTTTACTGCGCAGTGAGTGAGCAGAGGACCAAGACTGTGTTGTTCTAGTGGTGAGGAAAGCCATCTAACCGTACAGCAAACACATGGCGGTCAAAACAGCTTTCCTGACTGAGGCTACCGTAACTAGACACGTTCTCTTAACACCCCGTCACCGTGAGGATATTAACACCGTCACCGTGAGGATATTAACACCGTCACCGTGAGGATATTAACACCGTCACCGTGAGGATATTAACATCGTCACTGTGAGGATATTAACACCGTCACTGTGAGGATATTAACACCGTCACCGTGAGGATATTAACACCGTCACCGTGAGGATATTAACACCGTCACCGTGAGGATATTAACACCGTCACCGTGAGGATATTAACACCGTCACCGTGAGGATATTAACACCGTCACCGTGAGGATATTAACACCGTCACCGTGAGGATATTAACACCGTCACCGTGCACCCTCTGTTTTGGCAAGTCAGTAACCCGCTGCCCTCCTTCCCCTACCCTACACGTTGACACTCTGGTTTTGATTACAAAGCCAAGAGCTCACAAATATCTAGCGCTATCATCAACTGCTTGAATCTCTCTCACTCCCCCTCCCCCCTTCACCTCCTCCCACTGGGATACTCCGTCAAACACCAATCATAAACAGTGTAAAGATTGATGATCAAGCCAAGACTAATATAAAAGTAACAACGTCAATACTAAAATAAACGCAGAGAATAAACAACAGTATAGCTTAGCCGGGCGGACACCGGACTCATCTCACCTTCGCTAACCGTGTCAGTGAATCCTGCCAACGACACGTGGGACTGAAGCCACCAACGACACGTGGGGCTGAGGACATCATGTGAGAGGTGAGAAGTTAGTTCATGTTCTTCTCACGTCGGTACAAGTGAGGTCCCACAACAGCTTACGTCACAACTTTGTTTACTGTGAAGGCAGATAATAAATTCCTGGACGACACACACACACACACACACACACACACACACACACACACACACACACACACACACACACACATACAAATATAATCTAAGGCAAAGATCCCGTACGACTTGAGACCTTCCCCAATGTTATAACTAGTGATTCAAATTATTGTCAACTGGATCATAAATTTTCCAATATATCAAACAAGAAGAGACACAAAGGCACTAGAGATCAAGTAGAGTCCTTCTCGAGGGATTGTTGTGTGTGTGTGTGTGTGTGTGTGTGTGTGTGTGTGCCCTCTTCCAACAACAGGATAACCACAGCACGATGAACCCCTCATTAGAACATGTGGCAAGGGACAAGTTGATAATCAGGATATATACAAGACCCATAGGAAGATTGGTGTTGGATCTTTTCAACCTGTTAATGAGACGAGGAGGAGAGCTGTCTTGCCTCGGGAACTCCTCTATAATGCGAAACACCTTTGATCGTCCGCTCTTACCCTCCTCCCCCCCAAAAAAAAGTTTCACTGCTAATTGGCGAGAGAAGACGCGTAGGAGGCGCCCCATTCACTCGATTTTGCGGCCACTCAGAGTTTTTAACGACGGAGATTTAAAGGGTCAGAGCCACGTTAAGTGTGTGTGTGTGTGTGTGTGTGTGTGTGTGTGTGTGTGTGTGTGTACATATATTTTACACGCACTTTACATATAGTCAACATATGTATACTTGGAGTATACTTCTGGGCTAGAGAGAAAAACGTACATAAACTTGATCACACGTCGTTGTATATATGTGGCCGCAGTTCCTCGTCGTCATCGCCTTCAGCTCGTCTCTCCAACAACTACTCCGATGGGGGACTTCAGGCAAACATCACTAAAGCGGGGTTAATGTGACCCCAGTCCCGATAAATGGCATGGGTCAAGGGTCTCTCTAGAGCATCACCATAGCGGGGTCAACCAAGCCTTCGTCTGGACTTGGTTGGTTTTTCGGGTGATGAATCACAGTAAACCTCGGGTGAAGAATGACTCCCGCCTCTTGATCACCAGCTGAAGCGACACTAGTCTTAGACCTGGTAAAGAGCAGAAAGACGGAGGAAGGAGGAGGGACGAACGGAGGGGAATTTACCCACCGGAAATTCTTATTTCTCACTTTTCTCTGGTTTGTTGGGCACGACTTATGGTTTTTTTCACTCACTGTAAACAATGATGATAGAGTGAGCCTCAAGTCACAAAAACAGGGAGCTCCACGCTCACACCTCATAAGTTGTTGACAAACTTTTGGCGGAGGCGGAGAGTGGAGATGCGTGTGGCCCCCCTGCTGCTGCTGCTGTGGGCCTCGACGGCCAGAGGCAGGCCGGAAGAGCTCGTCATGTCGTGTGTTGCTCGCTAGCGTGTCGGAGGCAGGTAGTGGAGTGTGGTGGGCGAGGGGAGAGGGCGAGGGTGGAGGTGTTGTGTTTCCAGGTTTAGGTGGTGCGGTTGGAGAGGTGGAGGAAGTGGGAATCAGTGCCCGGCTGAGGGTTATTATCTAATCAACGGACGGGTAGAGGAGGAGGTGGGGTGAGGGAAGGGGGGGAGAGGAGGAGGGGACTTCAGAGGGCCGCTTCTATATCGGGTGCGGAGTGCACCAGCAGCAGCGGCCTCACTACCACCACCACCAGCCAGGCCTCTCACCTCTCCTCCCTCCTCCTCCTCCATCCCTGCTGCCGCTGCTGCCTCTATGTCCCGGCCGTCATAAGTAACCAACCCGCAGCGCACCAACCACCCCAACCACCACCACCACACTCGCCACCACGCCGCGGGACAGGACGCACTCCTGGGTTCTTGGTTAGTCAGCGCGTCCACAGCCCGCCAGCCAAGCTGGCCACGTCGTGAATAAATAGTCGTTATATTATGTCATCCCACGCGACCCACATATGTTTATACATAACATAACCAAGTGATGTGTACTTAGTAAATGTACACATTTAAAGTGTTTTCGATGACTCCATGGTGCACCGGAATTTATTTCAGATTCTTTGCTGTGCACACAGACGCTGACCGTCACTTAGTGAGGACATCTGTAAAGAAATCTGTCACATGCTTGTAACACGACATGGACATGGAAAGTGAGAGAGAGTAACATTTGGATGACAGTTTGTATTTTATATAAGCGAGCAGGAGCAGCAAGAGCACGGGCGGCCCCAGTGTTGTGGGTGAGTGTGGAGGCTGGCAGTGAGTGGCCCCCGTTCCCACCAAGCGAATGAGGACATCCTATGGCAGGAGTGTACAGCCAGCCTCAACCATCACCTCCCCAAGCCCACTGCACCCGCCTCCTCCACCCTCCATCTAGGGCCTACATCTTCTGTTAGTCTGAGGTGAGGAAGGACGGGCGCCCAGTGCTTCAGTCGGGGGGAAACTGGACGACATATTATCAGGAAAGTGGAAATATCGAATGAGACCAAATTCTGTTGTAACAAAGACCATGCAGCGTTGAGAGTTGGTTTAGACCTTTAAATACCATCCAAGTGAGAACTGTGTCATTGATTTGTGAATCGGAGAATCTGCCCCCTGAGCTATGCGCGGGTCGACGGGCATTAGCGAGAGCGGGGCTCGCAGGCGAGTATGTATAGGGGTACTGGGGTTGCTGGACTCATTCTTGTCTATCTTCGTGATCGCGCCCCTGGTGGTGGGCTACTGGCGTGGCTGCTGGCAGCTCATGGATAAGTTCCTGCTGCCAGACAACAAGCAGTTGTCGGTGGTCACCTCGCTTACCATGGGTGTCGTCTCTGGACTGCTGTTCTGCCTGCTACAGCGTCCACTCGACACCCTCTGTGATCACTCCAGACGTCCCCGTCTGCACCTGTTTGTGTCACGGCTCTACACGTCGGTGTACTGTGTGTGCTGCGTCAACCACTGGCGGGGCGTGTGGGCGACTTGGGACCTGTACACTGGCATCTCATGGCAATCAGGTGCAACATCCATGGGCATCGGTCTCCTGACACTGGCCATCACCCGAGGCCTGAAGAACATCTTGGCCCCGCCCTTCATCGTTGTGACAGACCATCCTTCAGGATACTTCAACGTGCCCACTCTCTTCAGCGCCCAGGTAGGTCAGCCACCCTCTTCCGGTAATGCCATCTAGACCTGTAGTTCGCTTCTGGCCTCCTTGGGTGCCTCGTTTTTCTGATATATCACCACGTCGCTATGCTGCACGACTCCCACAGTAACGTTACCTTCACTGTTTCAGTCAAAGTTTTATCCCATCAGTCATGTCCACACTCATGTGGGTCAGTGACGTGTGCCCGGGCGGGCTAATCTCCGTATAAAGAAAAAATATAAAAGAGAATCTATGTGTCAAGAATGTATGGGTGACATTATAACAGATAAAAAAGATAAGACAGACTGATGATAACACGAAACTTATATGTAACTAAACTACATAACAAATTACCCTTAGTAAACAGAGAGAGAGAGAGAGAGAGAGAGAGAGAGAGAGAGAGAGAGAGAGAGAGAGAGAGAGAGAGAGAGAGAGAGAGAGAGAGTGTGATGATGTAGCAAGGAACACAGGTGATTTACCTTGATGATTTACTGATAATATGATGTCGTTAATCACCATCAGCTAAGGATCAACAGTGATTAGTTGAGTCACTTAAGAGTTAACACGATGATTGGTTGAGTCAGTTAAGAATTAACAATGATTGGTTGAGTCACTCAGGAGTTAACACGGTGATTCGTTGAGTCACTTAAGAATTAACAGTGATTGGTTGAGTCACTTAAGAGTTAACAGTGATTGGTTGAGTCACTTAAGAATTAACAGTGATTGATTGAGTCACTTGGAAGTTAACACATTGAGAGATAAGGGAGAGGGTGAAGGCAGGGGCGGATCCAGGAATATTAAAAGGGGGTCCAAGAAGTTGCGGGTGGAGGAACATGGCGAGCAAAGTGAGGCCATTTTGAAGCCCTGTACACTTAATATTAGGATATTCTGGAGCCACTAGTAATTAATTTTTACTATACAAAAACACCTGACTACAATACTGCATTAAATAAAAAGTATTGGAATTTTCTGATGAAAAAGGGGGGGTCGGATCCCCAAGACCCCCCCTGGATTCGCCCTTGGTGAGTGATTCATGGCGCCATCCGCTCACCCGTCACCAGCCCAAGGTTACCAAGATCACCAACCCAACACGTCACCAAGAGTTATTGGTATTCCCAGCCAGCCTTTTAAGCTCGGTGGCACCAGTCCGTCAGGTCTCCGTGGAGAGGTGGTCTTGGAAATGGATTTTAGAAGTTGTATTTAAGTTTCCTGAACCTTTATACTGATAATCACCTGTTATTGTATTATTATGGTTTTATTTGACACCAGTGATGTATAGATAAGATTACAGGTGATAAAACAACTGCAATAAAGTTATGCGTTGGTAATATAACGCAAAATTGTCTAATATTTACACACACTGCGTATTGCTTTCTGGAGTGATAACTGAGAACTACTTCTATGGCGAACACTAACTGTCAACACTGGTACGATAAATTACCCTTCAAACCCATTTTTATACACTGTCTTAATGTAAATAATGAAGACACTAATTTATATGATTGTCCTCGCAAGATTTACTCCCCGTTCCGCGTGGTAATGGAATTTTCACCCTTTTTCTGAGCCTTTACTTAACCTCACACATTAACCTCACAATTTAACCTCACACATTAACCTCACACTTTAAACGCATACATTAACCTCACAATTTAATCTCACCGTTCATAAAAACACATTTCCGACTAGTACATCAGAAACTCTTAATTTTTTCCTGTTTTCTTACCCGGACACCCAGCACTGGCACCCAGCACTGGTACTCAACACTGGCACTCACTGGCACTCACTGGCACTCAACACTGACAGAAAGTGACGGAGTGTGAATGCCTGGATTGATACCTGGTTGACATATACGTTAAGCCCAGTCTTTAAGAACACCCCATAAAGCGCAGATGACATCAACTGAACATTAGCTCCTCGATTAGGTGAGATTAGATTAAGGGAGATGAAGTAAGGTTAGATTAGGTTAGGTTGGTTAATCTTAAGGTGGGATTAGCTGGGGTGGTTAATCTTCAGGTGATCCTCGTACATGTGGCAGTATTAGGAAAGAGACGAGACTGGAACAGAGAAACAAACAGATTCTCTACTTACTGGATGATGGCGGTGGTTCGTTCTCTTGTCTCACCATCGTTCCTTCTCTTGTCTCACCATCGCTTCTTCTCTTGTCTCACCATCGCTTCTTCTCTTGTCTCACCATCTGGGAAAAAAAGAATAGTTATCGGAAGGAAAAACTCAGTAATTATTTTTTGAAGTAAACGTTAGCTGTAATTGTATTCATGAATTTGTAAAAATGTCTAAGCCACCACTTACGACGCGAGAGTTAGCAGAGGACGCTATATTTAACAGACCACAATGACTGTTTCGTTTAGTAATGGAATTTTAGACAAGCCGTCACTTCAGAAAAGTCATTCTTGTTTATATTATGTCTGTAGCAATGAGTGGTGGTGGCTGGGTTGGTAAGAGACGGGCGAAGGGAGGAGGAGGCGTAGGGAGATCGGGGTCATGCGATACGTTACGGAACAGCACAGGACAGGAATACCAATATGTAAGGAGGCGGGGAAGGCAAATTAGGTTATGTTAGATTTAGGTTAGGCTACGTTAGGTTAGGTTGGAAGTTAATTTGCGATTGAAATATAGAAAAGGTGTTTTATGTTTTCAATTTATCTTTTTAACCCAGAAACAACAGATTAGTTACAGGTGTGTAGGTACAGGTACAGGTGTGTGTGTGTGTGTGTGTGTGTGTGACCTACCGTTATGATAAGTAGGAATTAGGCTTAAACCTCATGGCTACGATGGCTTAGTCCCTAGAGTACGATGCCTTAATTCCTTGAGTACAATAACTTAACCCTTTGAGTATTGTGATTTAGCCGGTTGAGTTCAATGTCCGTTTAGTCAAAGTCACAAAGTCATCGTACTCAAAGGGCTAATTTACCGTACTCCAGGGATTAAGTTACAGTATTACAAGGGTTAAGATATTGTACTCAGTAGATTGAGCTATTGTACTCAAGGGTGAGGTCATCGTACTCAAGGTGCTAATAACCATAGAAGCATACAGTGAACCCAGAGAACCGGAAGTAGATAGGTAAGGATAGTGGACCGGAAGTAGATGGATGCGGATAGTGGACCCGAAGTAGATGGATACGGACAGTGGACCGGAAGTAGATGGATAAGGATACTTAACCTAACCTATCTTATAATCTCTGTGTCTTTATGTTTACCAAGAGAAAATGTTGGCGTTCGTAAATGCTTGAATAATACACACACACACACACACACACACACACACACACACACACACACACACACACACACACACACACACACACACACACACACACACACTCCAGCTTTCATCGACAGTGCTGGTTGAGTAAGGACACACACTATTTATTCCAACCCTCAAGCACTAGCAAGCACAGGTAGGCTTTTTTCCTCCTCATATTTTGGAGTTTGTATACACACTATTTCACCGGGGCTTTTGATCTCCTCCCCCTCCCTCCTCCTCCCTCCCTCTCCTGCTTCTACCTCACCCTCCCTTCCTATCCATTTCTCTAACCATTAACTAGCCCTTATCCATTCCCTAATCCTTTATCCATTTCTTATTCCTGTACCTAACCTCTTATATCCATTCACTAATCACTATCCACCCCTAGAGCTGTCACTATCCACCCCGAGCTGTCACTATCCCCCTAGAGCTGTCACTAGAGCTGTCACTATCCACCCCTAGAGCTGTCACTATCCACCTAGAGCTGTCACTATCCACCCCTAGAGATCCACCCCTAGAGCTGTCACTATCCACCCCCTAGAGCTGTCACTATCCACCCCCTAGAGCTGTCACTATCCACCCCCTAGAGCTGTCACTATCCACTCGCCGCTCTAGTAGGGGTTGTATACCTGGTACCTGACAGACTCATTTATTTTTTAATTATCTTGTCGATTTACCCAGCTGGTTGTGTGGTGGTGGTGGTTGTTGTTGTGTGGTGGTGGTTGTGTGGTGGTGGTGGTGGTGGTGGTGGTGATGGTGGTTGTTGTTGTTTGGTGGTGGTTGTTGTGTGGTGGTGGTTGTGTGGTGGTGGTTGTGGTGGTGGCATAGAACAGGAGGGATGATATCAAATACCAAAGAGACGCACAATGAGAGGACGGGAAGAATAGAGAAAATAAGATAAGAAAGAAGAGGAGGAACAGAAAGAGAGTAAGAAGAAGAAGAAGAAGTGAAGGAAAGGGAGTAAAAAGTGAATTACAATGCGAAGAAAAAGGGAGAAAGTGGAATAGAAAATATGGAGAAAGTATCATAGTTAGGAATAGGTTAGGTTAGGTTATGTTAGGATTAGGTTAGGTTAGGATTAGGTTTGGATTAGGTTAGGATTAGGTAATGTTAGGGTTAGGTTAGGTTAGGTTATGTTAGGATTAGGTTAGGTTATGTTAGGATTAGGTTAGGTTGAGAATATATAAATCAACACATCTGAACACTTTCTATACCCTGTCTAGCTTGTGGGGGCAGAGGGGAGGAGGGGGGAGAAGAGGGGAGGAGGGGAGAAGAGGGGAGAGGAGGGGGGAGAGGACAGGGAGAGGACAGTATCATACAGGTGGTGATTTAACCTATGACAGTACAGGTAGCGCCAAGTAATACCTTCAGGTAGAACACAGGTAGGTCGAGTTAATCAACACTACCGAGGCAACAAGGAACACCTACACACCTCCGTCTGCCTCGAGTCACCACAACCACATAATCTCACTACCACAACCACATAATCTCACTACCAAAACCACATAATCTCACTACCACAACCACACAATCTCACAACCACATAATCTCACTACCACAACCACATAATCTCACTACCACATCCACAAAATCTCACTACCACAACCACATAATCTCACTACCACAACCACATAATCTCACAACCACATAATCTCACCACTAAAAACCACATAATCTCACCACCACAACCACATAATCTCACTACCACAACCACCTCACCACCACAACCACATAATCTCACAACCCA